ACGGAAGCAAAAACTAAAAGGGACAGAAGAGTTTTCCTCTCTAAAGGGACCAAAACTACCATGAGCTCAACCCAAGGAAAAACAACTGTGGTCTCCCTATAGTGAATTGTATAAATATATGTTGTGTTTAAATTTATTTTATAATGTTGTTATAATGTATTATGAATGTTTATTAATTTTCACACGCATAGTAGTTGGAATATAATATGCAAATGTTTGTTTATATACGCGGTTTGATATAAGAATGTTTATCGAAAAAAAAATACTGAATTTCCTATTAAAAATTAAAACAAAAAAATGGTCCTAACTCAAGGAACCCCTTGTCTAATTTTAATGGAATTTGGCACTGCACTCAGCAGGGGTTCCTGGTACAATATGCTCCTAAATTGGTTGGGATAATATGTATTGTTTAAGTTGTATCTCGGGAACACACATGCATACATACCTACTGGGTGCGATGGGTAAATTGTCGCCATTATATATTTTTAATTTCGAGCAAGCATGTTGTTTGTATTTTATCTTTCTTGACTGCACATTATAGTAAGGTTAGTTGGGCATTGTCTATAAGAAAAAGAGCATCATGACGATTTCACTCCGTCATTTGGAAACAGCATGCTGTACTGCCGGAAGCTCCAATGCGAAGATTGTCTGGGTGTCTGGGTGTCAATCTGAGGACAGTACAGAGGATTTGGAAAGAGTTGGAAGAGTCTAATGGTGATTACGGAGGTATGGCAGCTCGGAAAACTCAATCTGATCTTTCTGATAAGAAAAGAACCCCCTAATTTGTTGGTGAGGGCCTCGGGCTCAACACGGAGGCCTACATCAAGTACCTTGAGGAGGTAGTGCTGCCATGGGTCAAGAGGGTGGCTGCTGGATGATCCTATGTCGCCAGACATAGGATCATCTCCTGCCAGGAGAACCCAGTCATGGCTGCCAGATAATTTCTACGACCACATCACCCCTTACATCTGGCTACCTAACTCACGAGGAGCAGTTGAGCAAGAGATCAACAAAATTCCTTGTAACACCAAAGATGAACTGAAGGCAAGGGATATGGTAGCATTCACCAACTTAAATAAGCGGACCGTCCAGAAGATTCGCAGGAGATTCTGAAGTCGTCTGGAGGTCGCTGTTGAAGTCAATGAAGTTTTTATTGAATAAATTTACTCTTTAGCATTTCAAGATATTTTTGTGTAATTTTGGCAAATAGATCTGTTAAAATGAGATGTCAGTGTTATTTTCATTTTTGCGTAATTTAGACGGCAATTTATCCATTGCACCCTGTACAAGTTTAGAGTTCGTATTAGAGATATTTATGCAGATAGTCTCATGTCTATTTACATAAATGTCTCTAGATAACATTATAATATACGTTGTAGAGTTGTTTCATTTATTTTCCTCGTTTCTTTTGACAGAAACAAATAGACGAAGACACCAAAACCCTCTTAGAAGAATTCACGAACAAAGTCGAGTTGCAGCCAATCTGCCAAAAAAGTTATAATGTCCCATGGTTATCAGGTGGCATTGATCTTGGTGAATATCACGAACCACACGTGGAATATATAAACGGTCTCTGCAAAGATTTCTACGATGATGTTATTAAATTGATCAAACAGGCAGTGGACACGCGCAAGCGTCAAGTAAAAGGTCATAGAAGCTCTTTCAATGAGATTCTGCATCATCTCCATTTTTCTCAAAAGGAATGTGCTTTATTCTGTGGACAGGAAAATACATTGACACAGCTAAAGATAATTCTTCAGAACGAACATCTAAGAAAGCCATTGGTGATTTTCGCAAACTCTGGAGTAGGAAAGACTTCTCTGTTGGCTATGATTATGAAGAAATTGATCACATGGTTTCCCAATGGTTACATGGCTATCATACGTTTCCTTGGTACATCTCCAGAAACATGCAATATTTTTAATCTGCTGCTGAGTGTTATCAGACACGTGGCTGATCTATGCGAGATTACCCCCGAACCAAAGAGATGCGATAATATCAACTCTCTACGAAAATATTTCCCGCAGTTTTTGCAACAAGCTGGCAATCAATTAAAAAAGCCACTAATTCTTTTACTTGATTCCCTCGATCAGCTCTCTCCAGAATGCGATACCTTTGACTGGCTACCTAGTGTCTTGCCATCTAATGTTTATGTTGTAGTGTCAACATTACCAGAAAAGAAAATCATGGAAAAACTCAAAGTGTTCCTGCATCAGGATTGCTTTTTAGAACTGCCTTTAATGCCGAGAGCAACTGGCGAAGAAATCATTGTAAAATTTCTTCAGCAAAGAAAACGCAAAATTACAAACAGCCAAAAAAGAGAATTGCTCTTCAAATTCTCAAAAGTATCTAGTCCTTTGTACTTAAATCTCCTGCTACAATCAGCCTTGAAGTGGCCATCTTATTTGGAAGTTGATTCTGATCAAATCCCAGATTCAGTTCACTCGGCAATAAGTTACCTTTTCGAAAGGTTAGAAGGGAAATTCGGAAAGAAGCTTGTTGCGTACGCTTTAGGGTACATGACAGTTAGTATGAATGGACTTACAGAACTCGAACTTATCGATGTCCTTTCGTGCAATAATGAAGTACTAAACACAGTTTTCGAAAATAATGACCCGCCATCCCGAAAAATAATCAATTTCCCTTCCTTTGTGTGGGCACGAATTTATCTAGAATTGAAAGCGTATTTAACAGAACGTTATTCATATGGGAAAATTACTTTCTATTGGTGCCATCGACAATTCATCGAAGCCGCTCACGAGAGATATACAGAAAACTCAAAGGAGCTTCACGCTGATCTATTTGAGATTTTTGCTTGTGAAACCAGCATAAAGAAAGACCTGACACTGACACAAAAAAACTGGATAATCTATGATGCTGATCGCAATGTGACGCCCCAGCAATTACATCCGAATAACAAGAGGAAATTAGAATGCCTCACTTATCATTTGTGCAGATCTGGTGACTATATCCCCACCAAATTTACTAGAGAAAATGTTTTCTGCAACATCCATTTCCTTTTTACGAAGATTATAACTTTTTCCAAAGAGAAAGTGATCGGTGAAATGCAAAACTATTTATTAAAGAAACCAGACCCGGAAACTGAAGAAGTGTTTCAGTTGTTAACTAACCTTGAAGAAGAAATTCCATCTAAGGAAAGATTAGCTGTGATACTCTTAGCCAAGCTTCCTATGTCAAGTGAAGGCTCTAGTTTGTTTCGATTGCGACAAGAATCGCAAAGAATTGTTGAAATGACACCAAATGCTATGTTAATCCCAACTTATAACTGCCTACGACAAAAGAACGAATGCAAAGGTGCCCGTCTTGTTTTGTCTCTTAGTGGCTACGAGAAAATATTGATTAATAAAGAGGAAGTTCTATTGTTAAAAAGAACTGTAAAGCATATATCTCCATTTGCAGTTTTGTATAGATCGGCCGGTTGTCAGTTCACTTATCTGGGGGCCCGGGAATGTAGCGCTCTCCTTCCCATGACAGATGGCCGCAATGTTTATGTAATGAGCGCCGACAGAGTTGGGTTTCTGGATACTAGTAATATGCGTATTCGATGGCAAAGTGACGACACAATGAAAAATTGCTCTGGTCGACCGCTGACAGTCACTTGGCCCAACCATTCCTCGCATCTAGCGGTTGTTTTTGACAGTGCCTACGTGTCCATTTTTACAGTTAAAGAGCAGAAACTCCGGTTAATGTTTTCCTTCAAGATTGACTGTTCACCGTCCGACATTAGCTACATTATACTTAGCTACTTCAAAAGCAAGCCATGCATTATTCTTGCCTCTGTGACAGGAGATGTGACTGTTTATACAAACATTGAACGTTGTAATCCGTCCACACAAAAGCAAATGTTCAACTCACCAATTATTAGCTTGAACTTATGCCATGATAACGATAATATTGTTGTGCAAATCGATTATGAACTTTGTTCCCTTCAAATGGAAACGTTGAAGAAATTGGCAACGTTGAAACTAAAACAAAAACTGCTCGGCTTGCACATACACCAACACCAAGCTTTAGTGGCGATTCTTGAAGAAACCTCAAACCTTCAAATTTTGAACACTTTGGACTTTTCAGTCATCCATGTGGTAAGTATTCCTGACTATCAAATCACTTGCTTCGCCATTCTGTGGAACACAAATATCGTTTTAACTGGTGACCAGAACGGATATCTTCTTCTATATAACTATCAAAAGAACACCCTTCTACAAGCATTAGATACGCACCAGTCATCTTTAACTTCAGTTACGATTAATGGTAACATTGTCATTACAATTGATTCTAACGCTATCCTAAAAGTTTGGGACTTTCATCAAGAGAATATCTTTAACAATGAGCTGCACATGACCAAGGAGAACCTTACAGAAGAAGAAAACATAATCAGCTTTGCCTTTTCAAGTAACAGCACCACACTGGTGACTGGTTCACAACAAAAACATGTCAAAGTATGGGGTATTGATGGGTACCTTTTAAAAAAGAGCATTATTGCCATCCGTCCACAACAGCTTCATTTACTGGAAGATAAATACATTGTTGTCTATGAAAAATCTCTAGGCGTACTGGAAGTCTATGATACTGTTAACGTCGGTTGCGTGATGAATTTTCAAGGCATGTATATTTTAGCTATGACTATAAAAAAGAATGCTGAACAATTACTTCTCTACACAGTCAATGACTATTCAGATTATATGGGCGTAGCAATCACTGATATTTATGAGAAAAAAGTGCTGATGGTTATTCCGATCATTAAAGAGTTTGAATTTACAAGTTTGGAAATATATCTCACTGATTTATCTTCCTATCTTGTTTTCAAATGCGGAGTTACTAAATCCGACTATAAGGAGATTGAATGGGCATGGAAAAACAAAGGTCAGTTCCAGCCACAACCCTACCCATTCAGATTTGCTGCTGTTAAAATTGACTGTCCGACAGGATTCTTGCAACAGTGCTACCGACAACTGACTGATATTCCGACTCTAGGTCAGACTATGTGTCTTCTTCGAAGTAATTTAGCCATGATAGCCTCCGGAAGTTCGGTGCTTTTGTGGGATATCCCGACGGGTAAATGTGACCAAGCCATAGCAAAAACAGTGTTTCGAAAAGCAATGTTCATGCGTGCAGATTGGATGGAAAACTGTACTGGGACAAGTACAATTATTGTACGTTCACCTAACCACAAATTCATTGTTATCGGATCAGAAGACGGTTACGTGCTTCTCTATCGAACAGATAACGGCATGCCAATACAGATGAAAGCACCAGATACAAAACATGAAGCACCAGTAAGTATTTTTTTAAATTTAAATATATTCTAAAATTTATATAACTTCATGATGCTGTCTTTGTTTCTAATATTCTGAAGATAATTCTTCTATTTATAGAAACTTGTATGCTGACAAAGAGAATCATTTAACTTTTAGTGACATCAGCTCAAGGTAGCCTTACATTTAAATGTTAGTGGCACTATGATAAAATTGTTGTGGCACTATTTCTAATTTTCAGAGGGATTCATTATTTAAAATTCTTCTATGATAAAACATATAAGTATAAAATTGTCCAATTTTCTAAAGCAAAGCAATTTTTTTCATAGTAAAAGTAACCAACGTCTTCAGTTTTTATTTTCATTTTCCAATAAAAAAAAAAAAATCACCTTTATCAATCAATTCCGTTTTATACTCAATAAATCTGCTCATTGGTTTTATTTCTTGTCAGGTCTGCCAAGTTGCTGTATCCCCAAATAATAAATGGGTGTCATCTTTCTGTGTTAACAATTTCCTTAAACTCTGGTCTGCTTGCAACAATGAAGAACATTTCAGCATTCAGCTACGATCTCAAGCAGTCAAGTTACAATTTACACTCGACTCAAAGCATCTTGCGGTTCTTTCAGAAAAGAGCAATGTGTGCATCTTTAAAGTGCACGAAGGAAAAACATTTAATGGATAATAATGCTTTCATTGTTATTAGAAAAATTGCATAACCTAAAAGCATAAAACTATTAGCATCTTGCTATCATTAATTTGGAAAGCTTTAATGTCTAAGAAAATGAATTAGTAATGTGAAAGGATGAAAATAATTGCAAAAAAGCATTCTTGTTGACACCACCAATAAGCAATCAAACATTTTCCTATGACACTAACCAGACAAGGAAAGTTAAAAATAAGTTCACCGGCTATTATTAGTCTAATAAATAGATAAAAGACAACAATTACTTTGTTAATATTTTTCTGCTGATATCACTCAAAATATTAAATAATTTAGTTTACGGTCATCTTTTTTATGACTACATAAATTGAAGTGCTAAAATATTAGAAAACACCAAACAACGTATAGCTCCTTTTGCCTGAATAATGGTGGATACACGATGTAACATTATATCTATGAGTTTTTACGTGTATATACCAGGCTGTCCATAACTGAGCTGTGTGTTGCATATTGCTGCAGTTAATTTACTAAGGTCTGAAACCTACTCAATCTAATGGGTGAGCACAGTAGTCAATTGAATACCTGGAAGTTAGGTAGTGTTCATGAAACCAGATTCATGTCATCCGTGCACAATGAGGGGAAGAATTATCTTTCTAAAACAAGTCATCGCCACTGGGAAATATGGTGAGTATAAAATGTGTGTGTGGGAGGGTCCAACAAGATCCCTGTATGTCACATCTGTCAAAATTGACTCCAGTTTCACTAGCGATCCTTGCGAATCCCAACGGAATACAGTCCACACCATCACTAGCTCGTACAACTCCCTGCTAACAGGCTGCATTCAAAATCTTATGCAGCCTCCTTCAAACAAATTCTACCATCTGTACTCAGGTGATGCAATACCAGTCTTCCACAGGCCAATGACAATGTTCTCTGGCCCATGCAACTAATATCATGATGTTAATATTGACACTGTTGTTGGTTGATGACTACAAAAATACCATGGTATCTACAGCATGAGACTCACACCAGGAAATAGCAGATGAATCGAATTTAATATCAATAAAGAACTTTTGTTCTAAAACGAGTTGATCTATGGTGATCTGTATATACACTGGGCTCACCCTAAGAGACACCAGAGTAGACTTTGCACTCAGTATCTCACCAAAGCCACCAGGTCGACCTTGAAAATGACCTCATAGATATCAGAAACAGATTTGCACTTCACAGGATGTCAGTGGCTGCCTCCAACATGTAAACAAATAGACAACCAAGCTGTGCACGTGCACATGTATGCCAACAAAATGAGAACAAGATATATAAGCAGCCCTTCCATCCTTGTGAGAAGATCCACCTTCAAAGAACACCCTCCAAAAACTGCACACCCTCAGCCAATATTAATCATTGATGTCCGCAGGTAAATAATGATTTATGTATAAGGGATTTAGTCTCATGTTCTTATTAATCTTTAAAATAACATTAAAAGAAGGCAATGTACATTCTATAGTGTTACCTGGGGGATTGAGTGGCACCAACCTCCAATTAGGATGTGATTTAATGCAGTTGTGGCAATACTTGGAAATTGCACTCTTGGAGAATCTGTGAATGTCTGAAGTTTTCACATACCACTGACATCTTTCCTGTATTCACATATTCCTCGTATACTCTTGCTACTGTTGTCTGAAAAACCCAAGAGCAGTTGCCACCTCAGAGATATATATGGCTGCAACAAACATTTATAGCTGCAATAAATATTCCACAGCCAGTGTTAAATCATGTCCATTTCTGATGACAAAGATACTACCTCTTGATCTATTGTCATTATCCATTTCTACAAGTGGAGAGACCAAAAACTATTCAACGTACTTGCTACTTCAGTTTATAAACATAACAGAATCATCAAGAAGAATGGTGTATAAAAATGTGACTAGTACTATAAAGCATAAATGAAGTAAAATAAAGAACTGGATAAAGATAAAAAAGCTACAAAGGAATTGTTTGGCCGGTTCTTTAATACCAAATTCTAGAAAGTTAGAATTTTGTTTCTTCCTATCTTTGTTACCAAACACTCAACTCATTATTCGTTTACAAGTAAGATCATTCAAGTTATTTTCAAGAGGATTTAACAAAGTTTTAATACAATTAGCATAACTTTTCATCCCACAAAGTGGTTTACTTTCTGTCTAATGTTTTGGACAGAAATGTTCTCAAAATTTAAATTACAAAAATATAAATGATTTTTTTGATAAATTCATTATTTTATGTCAACATGTCTTGTAGCAACAAGTACACAGAACTTAAGTTTGGTGTTTTTTTTTTGTTTTTTAATGTTTTCCCAATACAAGGTCCAAGAGCCACTCAAGGCAGAGGGTTATTAAATGATGATGATATGTGATCATAAGAGTGGGAGGTAAGAAGTGCAGCAGTTTATGAAGTTAAGAAGGAGCAACAACAGTTGACCCTAGACTTGAAGAGGTTAAGATTGTAGAGATTGGAAAAACATCCTCTTAAGAATCTGTCCCACAAACCATTGGTTCTTGGAAAGAAACCAAGTGGAACTTACTTACTAATAGAATGCAAAGGGAATGAGGATGGGATGATTCATTCTACTGTGGTGGCATGGCAGGTTTTAGCTGTGAAGATCAGGACTGGTAGAATTAAGGAATGTAACTGACAAAGTAGTAAGAGACTTGCAATATTTCATCTGTGGAAAAGGGTTTGTAGGGTTGAGAACAATTCTTTACCCACAAGGCCTCATAAACACACTTGAATTCTATGAAGAGTAGCAGGTGGGGATTGGGCAGCTCCAGCCCAGATATGGAAGCAATACTCCATTTTTGGCTTGATCTGGTTCTTGTAAAAAGCATGGCAGGAGTCAATTACTTACTGAAGCATTATAAGTGACCAACCATTGTTCCAGCATCTTTAGTGAGGATTCGTATAAAGGAGTCCCACTTGAGCTCTGAGATAAACTCTAGTCCCTGTAGATATTTAAGACAAGGATTGGTGAAAAGTTCAGGGTCTACTCAGTGATGGTAGAATGTTACTAGGTTGGTTTTGGATGTATTGAATGTTACAAGTCAGTCTTTCCCCGATTGGATTACCAGAGTTAGGTTAGAGGAGAGATCAGATGCATGGTTTTGGTCATCTAAGAGTTACACTTATACACTGTGGTATCATTTGTATTGATATTCACTAAAGTTGACTTCTCAATTTCCAAAAACTATAATTTCATAATGCCATTCTTTCCAGAACTAAAAATTATTGGTATAGTTTGAGTAAAAATCAGATTTTTTTCATTTTGTTTTTTTTTTTTTACACATTATGTTATGTAACAACTAGAGATAGTATCAATGATAATATCACTGATTTAGCAAGCATAGAGTACACTATTCATTTCTGTGCAGGTTTCTCTATTTTTTCTTTCTGGCCACTGTGTCTGGACTGAGAAGTTATATGGAAGAGTCATTACTGACAACAAATATGACAAACTGAAATGTTCTAATATCAAAAATCAAGCCAATGATGAGGAAGTTTGCACAATAGAGACAAACAGAGCATACAGCTGTTAATGTTCTTTAGTAGAAATAAGTATACAAATTGTCTATTAGGAAAGGGACTAATGAAAACCTTTCTACAGTTAAGTAAAGTTTTACTTTTGAAAAAGCAAAATATGTAATAGAAAACATAACTGTGTATATTCAATGCATGAATGCAAAATTGGCTGTTAAAATTTGTTCATAAAAAATAGTTCAATTCCTTCCATGCAGAAATAATAGTGAAATTTCTTGAATTTGAAAAAAAAAATTTCACATTGCTATTTTATCAAAATCAAAATAGAAAAACACCTGAACAACATTTGAACACTAGAGCAGATCAATTTTGGAACAGTGGTATTGCATGCAGTTTGAAAGGTGGTGCTTGACAAGATGAATAATGATAAAGTTTTTTTTTTTCCAAATCCTTACCATTCTTTGAGGAAATGAATTTAAAAATTGTTTAGGTTAAAAATTGGAGCATTGGAATTTCATTCCAGTGATCTGTGAAAGCCTTATAGCACAGCTTTATAAAATTTATAGTTGAAATATATGCACGCAGTTGGTTTTAAATTAAAAAGCATAATGAATTCCATAACTAATAACTGTATATTTTCAACATGATCCAGAGAATAAACCAACAGTCGACCAAAATACAGAATGTGGCATTAAAAAATTTACAGCACAATGCTTTCAGCTTGCTTCCAGAAAATATTCTTTTATCTATGTTGAAGTCAGATTAATTAGAAGTGAGGGAAGAGTCTATAAAAAAAAATTTTGTCCATTTGATAAATAAACATTTATTCATGCTTAATTAGTTATGTCAATTTACAAGACTAATTTTAAAATATTCAAATTACATTGCAAAAATATAACCAAGTATGAGTAATGTTTCCAATAAAAATATATTTTTTGTTTCAGAAATAGTGAACCAGAAAAGACATTAAAAAATACATTTATCAACTATAAAGCAACACACTGGTCAAATTTGATTAACCTCTCATAAAATGGATGTTGCGAACCTGCAATTGCAAAGATTTTTCAAATAATGAACTGCAGGAGGTTCTAATGAATGGAATGATGTTGGAGTTGCCAAATTTACCTGCACATTTGCAGTTAAATTAATTACTGACACTTCATAAATTGTATATGAACAAGAAGCAAGACACAAGCACATTATTACTAAATCATTGTGCAATCAAATAAGACCTTCATTTACTTGAAAGGGAAATTATACTGAACAATTTAGATATATTATGATGTAATATGTTATACAGTGCAGTAGGTTTAAAACATTCTGCCTTATAATTTGTGCCCAATAGTATTAGGGTGTCGTATAAACTTTAATCTATTTTTTGTTTTTATTAATTATAACCTAACAAATGGTGTAAGATCTTATTCCTTGATTTGCCTTTTAATTTGTGCCCAATAGTATTAGGGTGTCGTATAAACTTTAATCTATTTTTTGTTTTTATTAATTATAAC